AATTTTCTGATATTTTTAAAATTGAATTGCCTGGAGATCTATTTTATTGTATCTATATTAGTGGAATTCGATTTTATTGTATATGTTTTGTTTGTATACGGTATACCTCTTCTTTACTGTGATTGATTAAATGGATTTTGATTAAACATGATTGAGTATTTTGGTTGTATCAGAAACTCATTAATAGATTAAATGGATTTTTGTGATTACCTTTTTTACCCTCTGTTGAGAACCAAACGAAATCACTGCATACTAACTGTTTGATGATTTGCCTAAGTGAGATTTACAAAGCCAAAAAAAGATAAATATAAAGGAGCACCCATAAAAAACATATTCAAAACCAGGAAACCTATCTTTATATCTGATACATTACCTTTCTAATTCTTTTTTAAACATGTACAGACTGCATCTTATTAATCCTTTTGCAATGGCATTAAAGATCAACAACCCCCACAACCAAGTGTTGAGGCTGTTGGAACAACACATGGACATGCTTCACAACATTAAAGCAATCAAAGCTTCAACACCTTAAGATTCAAGTCTCAAGAGTCAAGCCATCAACTTGATATTTCTTCTTTCGACTCTTTTTCTTCACTCGATTTCCCTGTTCTAGTTTTTTTATCAAATCTTCGATTTTCCTGTTATTGATTCGATTTTTCTTTCGATTTTGTTCAAATTATCGAATGCATTTGGCTATTAAATATCTTTTGTTGTGAATTGTAATCTTATATGATTTTTATATCATATGTTTGTATCGTTTGTCATATGAATGGCTAGATGGTTTTTGAATGTTTGTATCATCTATATAGTCGAATGTCCGAGTGGCTGAATTTATAATGATTTTACTTCTGTTTGGTGGAATGGTTATATAATGTATGCATTGCATAATTATCGAATTTTATTCCATGTTATGTTATTGCTCCGACCTTTTAATTTTTGTGAATTATGATATCATCTTGATTTTATATCATTTTTATTTATGTATAATCCGTATAATATTAATCTTGTATGGCTATCAAATGTATTTTGTGTTGAATTGTGATATCATATGATTTTTATATTTACAAATGTTTTTTTTCAACTTTTTTTTACTGAACGGGTATCCATCGGGTTATCCGTACCCGGCGGGGATTTTTTTACCCGCACCCGTCGGTGATTAGGCGGGGATGGGTGTGGGGATCGGAGTTCGGGTGCGGGGACGGGTATTGCAGTATCCGCCAATATCCGCCCCCGTTTGCATCCCTAGTTTTGACAATATGCATTCACATAAACTTGAAATAATAGTTTAATTTAGAAAATTTAGTGAATTTTAAACAAATTAAATGTTAGTATTATGTGGGATGATCCGATGCGAGCCCAAATATTTACTTGGGCCAATATATGTTATAGTGTATTTGTGGCTTCACATTCTTAGTGAAAAGTCATGAGATATGAAAGATAATCTGATAGTTTTTACGATATAAAAAGGTTTGCAGCATGTACCAGAATACCTCTAACCAATAAGAGTTTAAGTTAAGCTTCTTTGCTTCAGCATGTAGGGTTTGAGCGAAAAAGTGATATATATATATATATATATATATATATATATATATATATATATATATATATATATATATATATATATATAAGAGAAAATTGCAAAAGTTAGAGCTATCAAAGTATGAAGATCAAGAAAAAAATTCTAAAGAAAAGCTTTTTGAAGATACCAAAAATCAAACAAAAAGGTATTGAATTCGAAGAAATCAAAGAGAAAATATCAAAGAAGTGATGAATTCAAAGAGCTCCATTGTGGTATCAAAGTTGTAATCTTTTCTTTCTAGATCATATGTATGCTTGGGAAGCTTAACCAAATATACCTTGAGGTTAAGAAAGTTTTCTGGGATGGATTCAGAGGGTTGCAAAAATTAGTGTCGTATAAACTAAGGGGTGAATGCTCATAAGGATTGTGGGTATTTAGTATTGGGAAGCTTTTAGGAATTATAGACACAAATACATGCATTGCGGTCTTGGGATAATGGTTGGGTTTAAAGTGGATTGTCTTATGCGATATTAGTAAGTTAAAAAATAGTTTGCTTGGGGGCAAGCAAAAGACTAGTGTGTTGTAGTTTGATAACGTATATTCTATACTTATATTTATGGCATTTTCTTATTATTTTATACTATGTTTTTATGCCAATTAGAACTAAAAGGTACTCATAATGCGTAAATTTATAATTTACAGGTGTACTTTGTTGCTAAAGCGGAAACGAAGTGAAAAATGTTGTAATTGGACTTGGATTGCTAAAAGGAACAAAGTGGCTGAAGGAGCCCACTACGCCCAGCGTAGTGAGGCGTACGCCCAACGTACTTGGCTGGTGTCCCCAGATCAAATAGTGCATGTATCTCTAGTACGCCCCGTGTAAACCCACTTACGCCCAACGTACATAAGTCGGTTCCAAAACTTATAAATAACGATTTTCGGTCAACCAGAAGAGAGAATTCAACTTTTATTGATCCTTGGTCGATAAGTAACCTTCCTTCTTCCGTTTTGAGGGTCTATAAGACGGCCATAATTCCGTTAAGCTGACAGGAGCGAAGATCTGAGGGAATAGAAAGCAGATTCTTACCATAGATCATGTGAGATCTGAGGGAATAGAGAGCGGATTCATACTAGAGATCATGTGGTTTGTTGTTATGGTCATTATTAGCATTCCAATATGATTTCACTATGTGTTTACTTTCTGATTTGGGTATTAAACCCTTTGCTTTGCATTTATGATTAGATGAATTCTTGAATCTATGGATTAATTGCTTTGAGGTTTATCTGTTCTTATTCAATTTATTATGATTGCTTGATAAAGAGCCTTATGTGTTGATGTTACATTCTTACCTGTTTATTACTGTTTATTACTAAGCATTGTTAGATTAGACGAACATTCTAGTTTGATGTGCTTTTATCATATGAGTTTATGAGTTATAAATTTGTATGACTAGTGTTTGATCAAAACCTAGGGTTAAACAGTAAGTTAGTGATTTAAATATGTAAGTATGCATGGGATGACTACTCATATGTAATTAGCTTCATGATCTTGATGCTAGTAGTTCAAGTCTCTGATAATATGAACTGAATACTAAATTTTAGGATAATTAATGCACTTAATCACTGCTACTAAAAGTCTTGAAAGTCAAAGGATTATTTGTCTAGACCAAGAAACTAGTCATATTAGGAATCGGTGAATGAAGAATAAAATACTTTTGTGTGAGCAATTGTCTATAAGTTTTAGATGTAATTTGTCCAAACTAAAGTACCTAAAGATATTTGTCTTCAGTATTGGGCCTTCCAGGCATCCTCCTAATCAAAGGGGGTAAGGGATTGATATAAGCAGTATGGGCCCACATATTACTACCATTTATAGGTAAGATGTATGTAGTGTAAGTTGCTACATAGTTGGCCTTACTAAACCATGTACTTATGAAATCAGTTGGTGTTAATAGACAAAGTTTATTGTAGCTTGAGCATGAACAAACGGCATACGCATATCTTGTCTCAAACATAGACCCTTCACTTGGTATCACTTTTCAGTGCCTAAAAATGTTCAGGAAACTATTTAGAATATGTTTATATATATAACCAAATCAACAAACATACCTCATATATTTTCCAAATTCTTCCATTTTTCTATGATGGCCGTACATACTTCAGTTCTCCATGATGTTGATGTTGCACCCATATAGTAGAATCTTTCCATCATGTAGATTCAGATTTCCTTTGACATTGTAAGTAGAGGTTTTTTGCTGATGTCTCTTACCATTGCATTAAAAGACTCGGATACTCCATTTTCAATAGCCTCACATACATATCCTTGAGAAAAAAGGCCCTACCCCACGTTGATGGATTCTTTGACATCAGCCAACCATAAGCTTTGTCACTAATCTTCTTTATTTCTTCCATCGTAGCAATGAAATCACCTTCCACGGTACTTTTTGTTGTTGCCCAAAATAAGTTTTTCAACTCTAAAGCATTAAAAGACTTCCTAAAGTTTGCAAGAACATGTCTCGCACATTGCCTATGTTTAACATGTGGCATGATGTCCTTCACAGCTTTTAACAGTCCCTATAACATGCAAAATAATGTTATTATAACATACAAATAAATTTCATTAGTATACGGCTTTATGGAATGTATGCTTACCTTATGTTGGTATGAAATGAAAACCAAACCCCTACCACCATCAACTCCTAAGTTAACAACAAGGAGTTCTAAAAACCATGTCTTATTATCTTTGTTTTCAACATTCACTATAACCCATGTTATCAGATAGACATGGTTGTTACTATCTCTTCCAATAGCACTTAACAACTCACCTTTTAACATGGCCCTTCAAGAAAGCCCCATCCAATCCTACTACCGACCTATACGCTCTATTCCAACCATCTTTGAACGCCTTGAAGCAAATATAAAACCAGTGGAAATAGTTTTTTCCATATGGATTAGTAGTGACTCCCACTTTGCATGTGCTTCCGAGGTTAGAGATAAGCAGTTCATTCGCATAATCACAAACCTTAGCATAATGTTCATGCAATTTACCTTCAATCATTTCATGTGCCCTTACCTTGGCCCTATGGCATTGACTCTTTGACACTTCTATTGAGAACTTTCTTAGGGAATCCTCTTTCATATCTGTTGTTGAAAATTTGGGCTTCTGAATTATGTCATTTACATAGTGCCTAGCTAACCACTGGCAACTAACTAGATGTCCAAATTTATAGTTCCTTGCACAGAGATGTGTTTCAGTCATGGTCTTAATCTGAAATGTATGTTCATTATATTTTCATGATGTGTAAATCTTAAAAGGACATTGCCTTTTATAACTTGGTTTACCACATCGAACAAGTAATATGGATTTATCAAACTTCATAAACCATAGTTGATAACCTTGAGAAACTGCATAGTTAGTTAATGCAAACCTCAACTGAGCAGGGGACTCATACAACTCTCCCAAACTAGGCTTCATTTCGTCCTACTTAATAGTAGGATCATGGACCTTGTACTCAACATCAACATCAAGTTCGCTATCTTCTCCAATGTGCTCATTAACTGCCTCTTGCCTCGCATCAAGTTGGTTTTCTTCTCTAATATCCTCATATGTGTTCTTGAAGATGTTCTCCTTACATAACATGTTAAGGAAGGGGTCATCAGGCATTATAGACTGGGGTTTGAAGGTCTCTGGTTCACAATCCAAATATGACATGTCAAGAAGATCATCATCGGAGTCTTCATTAGGAACGTATTTTACATCAACAAACTTTTCTTTACTCTTGCTTGATGACTTTGCCATTACCTACTTTTACATGGTTTTGAAGGTATCTGTTTCATAATCCGGATATAGAATGGTAGTTAATAACACATGTAACACTAAAATCGATAATGGTATAGATGGAAACATTCACTAACCTTGCTATTTCATTGATCGAGAAATGCCTCGGGTTCCAATCGAGGGTTTTTGAACATCAGTCGCTAACGGGAAGATGATCAGAACTAGGGTTTTTGAACTTCGATCTTTGAAAACCCTCTTTCTCCTCTCAAATCAAATTTGTTGCATAGAAGAAATAGTGAAACGATTGTGGGTTTACATATTGCACTTGAGGGAAACTTGTTTATCGGGAACAAACCTATGACTTTCTGGTGACCGGCTAAATACCCCGAATAGAAACGACTCTTAATTAAGAAGGGCAAAATGAGAACAAAAAAGCCAATTTTGGCAAATGGGAACTTTAGATGTAAAACTAAGGGTTTTTGAGTAAATCTTACGAAACATCTTCAAAATAGTTTTTTCGTTAAATATTTGCGAAATGTTATTTATATATGTTATAACGAAAATATAAAATCTTATAAAACATCTTCAAAATAGTTTTTCGGTAAATATTTGCAAAAAGTTATTTATATATGTTAAATTTATTTGTTTGTTTGCTCTAGAATATGAAACCTTCATATTCTAATAAAAGATTTATTTTTTGCCGGATATGGCTGTTTTTTTTCTTTTTTTCCCCAACACTAAGTCATGTATGGGTAAAATGACTGAATGAGGAAAAAGTAGGAATCCAACTTAATTCACCCACTTAAATTTCTAAAATAGTTACACATGTAAACATATGTTGCATTTTTCTCATCCTTACTATTCTTCGTGAGACCAAACAGGAAAGCATTGGATTAGCTTCCTATAAAAATCTAATGCATGAAAAAAACGAATAAACCAATTCAACAAAATCTAAAAACAAAAGGGTTTCTAGTTCAACGGTATCCAGTGTTGCCCTCCCTCTTTGAGATCGAGGGTTCAAGTCCTGTAGTGGACATAGATGGAATAATTTAGAAGTAGTTTAGTATATTTTCCGTTAAAAAAAACAAAACAAAAAAACAAACAAAATCTATAAAATTAAAAGTTAAAACATCACCTCATGAACTAACACTCGATAAGCATTGAGGTCATAGTAAAGACCGACACAACACCACCTTTACTTATACAATTTCCAAATTGACATGGGTATGGAGACATGAACCGATGAGAGTAGAATATTACAGTTTACTTGCTAAGTGTGTGTTTATGTGGTGGGGGAGGGATACTTAGTTCCACATACTAAATTCAATTAGTAATGAGTTATATATTAATTGGTAACAATAGATTAAAACTATATAAACGAAAAGATAAAAGTTATTATTAAGATCAAAATTCATGAATTCTAGTGTTGTACTACAATAAAACGGCATTCCTTAATCATAAGTTATATGTTACCAATTGTAACAAGCAAATGTTTTTACATCTTCATATTTTACAATTTTACAATTATAACATCCTAATTTGTTTATTATTGTTCTACAACCAAAACATCCAATTTGCTTATCATTTAACTTTATTTTTATTTATCTTTACAAATATTATTTATAAACATTATATGCCTAAGAGTTTGCCATAATTTCACATTTTATAGTATAAACAGTAAACTTTAAAGAAACCAAAAAACCCGCCGTTCGAATGAATTATTCGTCAAAATGGTTGGTTCCAGATCTAAAACCTTGAACCTAAAGCAAAAATCCTTAAATAATAAAGAGGACTATTCGCCGAAGGGATTTGAAAGTGTACATAAATTACGCATATATTCTAAATGTAATGATATTACGAATATACTATTTTTTTTAATTATATGTTTCTTATATTTTCTTACTTTTATTTTATTAAATTTTATATTTCTATATACAACATGATTATTTTATCATTAATCTTGACTTAAAGAACATGACTATTATTTTTAAACTACATATTAATTAAAAATAACGATGATAAACTTACGGATGAAACATCAAATTGTATATAAAACTAACTATTTACAAATGTATGAATTATGATTACGGTTTTTACAATGTCTATGTTTGTTTTACTGTGTCAACGAGTACACAAGTTTTCATAACAGTGTAGATCGTATATTCATAATAATGTATATATTAATTTTAATTAATTATTATAAACTTAATATTTGTAAATTAATAAATTTTTACAAATCTTTGGTTAGTCATTATGATTTTAAATTATCAAGTAATATTTTTATTTTTTAACCATGGTTTCTATGGATATTAACTCAAATACCTTAGATATACAATTTCCCATAATGTTTATGTTAAATATAGCAAAATTAACATCTTTTATTTGAATATCATCCCACCATCAAAAGTTGATAGAGAAGTTAGAGGGAGAGAGCATAAACGGATGAGATGAGACGTGGATCTTCTTTCTTCCCTTCCCCTCCCCAAAACGTATACTTTTGCTTTTCCAAAAATCAAATCCAATCCAAATTTTGCACTAATCTTCATCTCTACCCCGATCTGATGCAAAGCCCTTATCACATCCCCACACTCCAGCTGTTGCCACCTAACTCAACTTCAAGTTCAACCCACTAGATCTCTCATAAAACCTTCTTAATCCAACACCCTGCTATCAATTTCTCACTCCCAACAACTTTTTTCTCCAATTTCTGCTCAAATTTCACCTTTTCTTCAAGAAAATGGAGTCGTGAAAGACAAAAAGCAAAACGATAGTAGGGTTTTCTGGATTTTGATGTTGAATGGCCTCACACAGCTGGAAGGATGCTTACAGGGGCATGTCTGCGGATAATATTAAGGGTTTGGTTTTAGCATTGTCTTCCAGTTTGTTCATTGGTGCTAGCTTCATTATTAAGAAAAAGGGTCTTAAGAAAGCAGGCGCCTCTGGTATTAGAGCAGGTGGTTACACATCTCACTATTTGTTTCAATTTGCTTTTGTTTCAATTTGCTTGTTACTTCAAATGGGAAATGTTGGACTTCGAATCCATGATACAGTCGACAGATCTGAATGATCTTCTGGTTTACTTTCGTGTCGATCTGACAAGGGCAATTATTAGCGATCGGCCCTTTTACTTTCCGAATTGTAATTTATGCTTCCATCGTTGACACCACTAGAAAGTTTCATAGATGCGAGAGGTATACTATAAGTGACATTTTAGATGTTATCCTCTCATTTGCGATTTGCAGATGACCTAATCATCATGAAGTTCGACAGATTTTTAAAAATTGAGTTCACTCCACCTTTCAAAGGTTGATATTGTTGAAATTAAAATGGGTGATTGTTTCAAGTCGTGATTGATGCCAATCAAGATACTTGAGGGCTATCCATTTGATTTGAGAATTCTAAGTTCAAAGCTCCCTAACAATGGAGATGCTTTGAAGCTCCCTTTTTTTTTTCTATTTCAGTAATCACCTTCTTAATAACTTACCATTTCAGATTCCAGTATCCCATTCCACCTCTTAAAGGTGGAAGATTCTTCAGATTCATACAAATTAGCTTTCTGGATGCATGTGATTTATATTACTTTTAGCATATGCTTCTTATAACAGTCAATTCAATGTCCAACTAACAAAACTCTACCTTTTTTTCTCAGGAAATGGAGGATATTCATACTTATACGAGCCTCTATGGTGGATAGGCTTGATAACGAGTGAGTATGTTTCTTGTTGTTTAAAACTTTACACTGAGGGCAAATTTGTAAACAGTTAACTTTCTCTGTAAAGTCAAAAAGAAACACTTATATAGCTTACCAGATTAAGTCATGATCCTATTGACTTATTAAGTCGATTAAGTAAAAAAACAAACAACACCTTAATGTGAATACTGACTCTTGTATTGAATTTCACAACAGTGATTGTTGGAGAAATTGCAAATTTTGCAGCATATGCATTTGCACCAGCTATTTTGGTGACTCCTCTTGGGGCACTCAGCATTATTATAAGGCATGAAAAAACTCAAACTCTACATGATCTGATTATATTTATACGAATATTATATGATTATTAAATATCAAATATTGCAGTGCTGTTCTTGCACATATTATACTACGAGAAAAGCTACACATTTTTGGAATTCTTGGTTGTGTTCTATGTGTTGTGGGGTCCATCACAATCGTTCTACATGCTCCTCAAGAACGCCCTATTGAATCAGTCACAGAAGTATGGGATCTTGCCACGGAGCCAGGTATCTAATATCTTCCTCCTTTAATTTTTTAACTTTTTTGGGAAAAATACATAAAACTACTACAAAGGACAAGTGTTTTTTCTGTCATTCTTCCTTTCTTTTTTCTATTGTTTCCTCTTTGACTCTTGTTTATTCTTTCTGCAGCTTTTCTTCTATATGCAGTAATGGTGTTGATAGCTGTTTTTATACTTGTATTTCACTATATACCCTCATATGGTCAAACACACATAATGTGCTACATTGGAGTTTGTTCACTAGTAGGTTCTTTATCGGTATGTACCTTTAACTCTTTTTTCATATGGATATTGTCATTCATTGTGTTTATTTCATAATTTTTTTTTTTTTTTTTAGGTCATGAGTGTGAAAGCTATAGGTATTGCTTTGAAGCTTACTTTATCAGGAATGAATCAGTTAGTATACCCCCAAACATGGGCTTTTACCTTCATTGTTTTGCTTTGTGTCATCACTCAAATGAATTATTTAAACAAGGTAACAACCAACAAATGTACTTTTATTGATCTATTTATTATTATTACAACATTGTATACAATTTCCATTTGGGTAGATTTTTCAAAGTAAAATGTCTTAAAATTTCACCCTTTTGGGAATTGATATTGATTTCAGGCACTTGACACATTTAATACTGCTGTTGTCTCCCCGATTTACTATGTTATGTTCACATCTCTTACAATTTTGGCAAGTGTGATCATGTTTAAGGTAATTCTTTCTTTGCTAATTGTAAGTAAATTGACTTTCGTAGACAAATATGAAGGGTATTTATGTCTTTTATCTATGTTTACTACAGGATTGGGATAGGCAGAATCCATCCCAGATTATCACTGAACTTTGTGGTTTTGTGACAATTCTTTCTGGAACCTTCCTTCTTCACAAAACCAAAGACATGGTTGATGGTATGTTGCTTTACTTCTTCATGCATAATAATTTTATAAACTTTCAGATTAATAAAAGCTAAATTTGTACTAATTTACACATAACGAAGCAAACCCTTTTTGTAACAAGATATATGTTTTCAAATGCACCCATAAAGATCAAGAATTCTTGTGGGAATTTCTTGGTGATGATGAAAATAGGATTTGCCATGTCATATTTAAGTACTTATGAATAACCAAATGAACCCTTTTTGGAACAAGATTTGTATTTCCAAATGCAAGTGGTGAAATAGATATTGGGAAAAAAAAAAAAAAGACAAATTAGCAAAGGGTTAGTGTCTTAATACATTAAGCCTGATTAAATGCTCCATGTTCACTTTCAAGTAGCAAAAAGACCCTTTTGGTAACAAGATCAATGCTTTCATACAGATTTGTGAAATAGATTTTTGCATGTTGCTTTCAAATTATGTTGACCATAGTCAAATCTTGATTATATAGGTCAAATACCTCTATCAATACGATCACTGAAGCATATGGATGATGAAGAAGATGGTATAGATCAAGAAAGCATCCCTTTGAGAAGACAAGACACAAGTTGTATGAGGTCTCCATAATGTATTTTTTTGCTCATATTTGTACAATTTTTCCACCTTCTCTCCATGGATACAGAGGTAATTGTACCATGGAGCTCTTGTTTAGCTAGGAAGATACTAGTTTTGGGAATTGGGGACTTTCTAATGTAATTGTAAACCACATTTGGTTATACAAAATGTATCCCATTTTCCTTCATGTTTCATCCCTTACAAATGTCCAATCTTTAATAACCCTGATTCTTGATGTCAAAGAAAAGGGTTTTTGTTTTTTTGGTTGATTATTGTTGTGTTTGATTACTAATTGACTGGAAGGAAGAGTCCAAGGTATGCTAAAAAATTGATTAAATTATACGAATGGTCCTATGGTTTGGAGTAATTTGCATGTTTGGTTCCTAACTTATTTTTTTAGCTTGGAAGGTACCTATTGTTTGTTTTTGTTGTGCGTTTGGTTCCTGTCTTACCTAAAAAAAACTATTTTGCTATTGATTTTTTAATTTATTTAAATAAACACACCCCAAACTCTACTTCCAACTCACCTTACCTTACTTTATCTACCCCATCTTATTTAAATAAATTAAAAAATCAATGGCAAAATAGTCTTTTTAGGTAAGACTATGACTAAGCGCAACAAAAACAAACTATAGGGACCTTTCGAGTTAAAAAATAAGTTAGGGATCAAACGTGCAAATTACCCCAAACCATAGGGACCATTCGTGTAATTTACTCTAAAAAATTTAGCACTAAATGTAGGAAATAGCAATGTGTTTTTTTTATTGATTTGTTAATCATAACATCTTGTTCTCTAGTAGGTGGTGGAAAGACTTGTGCATTTACTAACTCTTAAATATTGTCACCTCGTGTTTGTTTGCATATTTTTAGTGCAACTCATATTGAACTTGCCAAATCCTATAACTTGAAGGGTCAATCGTAGAACACTAGTAATATTTTAGGTGTGTTAGGTTTTAGACATCAGCCTTTTTTTGGAAGTTTCACATCTCAAACACTAGGCTTCCATCACTGGCACAATTAACACATTCACAAGCATTTAAATTGTTACATGTTCACGCAAATCTTTCGTGTTATTCATGAGGTATTGATATGTGTATATTTAATGCATATTTCTAATATTTTTAGCTACAGTTTTGCTTAATATGGAACAAAAGATACTTATTATGTCTAAAATATGTTTTGTAGCGACGAAGACTTGCTCGGGACAAAAAAAGGAGCATACGAGGAATTGGAAGCAGGAACCGAGAGCTAAAACAAAAGAATAAATGAAGAAGACTGAAGACCATGTCATGGTGACATAACCACGACGTGGCGAGTGGGATATTTGTGATCATCATGCTAACTTGGCAGACACTGGATTTACACGAAGACCACGTCGTGGTGGCGGTCAACCACGACGTGGTGGTCAACTTTCCACAATTATAAAAACTCGGACATTAGGTCGAAATCAAGGGGCATGCATTCGGTTTTCAGAGGTCAATTGCGACTAAGAACCCTTAGAAAACCAGAAGAAGATCGGAATTGAAGTAAAGCTTAAGGATTGAAGAAGATTTAGAGGAATTCAACATTGATCTAGTTGGTTTGCTTAATAAACTTATGTCTAGCTTATTTTACTTAGATCTACTGTGTTTTTCCACTATAATAAGATGCTAAAAACCTTTTACTTATGTTTGGTGAAGATTATTTTGATATATATATATATGTGTTGATTTTGATATTGGATGATTATATTTGATTTTACTTGTGTTTGATATATAAACCCTAGCATGTTTTAGTTCTAGTTTATATTACTTATAAATCAGATTTTGTGTTAATTGATCATATTAATTGCATTAATCTATCGTCTAATTGTTTATGATCATTAAATAGTTAGAGCTAAGATTAATCATATCTTAGTTTAAGCAATTAAAGCTAGTAACTTTAACTATGTTAGAGAGCATAATTAGACTTAATAGTGATTGGTTGCTTAACTTGATCATAAAAAGAGTAACTACTATCATTCATAGTCCAATTGTGCTATTATCAATTTGGTGTTCAACTTGTGCATGATCATTGCTTTGTTATTCATAAATTGATAGGCCTAGATATTTGATCATAGTAACTAGGTAATTGGTAATCAATATAATATATCCATTAGAATCAACCATAAGAGAGGGTGAAATCAGATTTAGGCAGAAGTATTCTTTTAATTCTTGAAGTTATTTTGTTTACGTTGCTTGCTTACTTGTTAGGTGATATTAAGTAAAAAAACCCCAAATCATGATTTGTTTCTTAGTTTAATTAGAAGTAGTTAATTTATTTAATTGAATTTCGTTCCCTATGATCGACATCCGATTAACCCGAGCTATACTATAATTTGACTGCTTATAGGTACGTAGTTAGTAAGGGTTTATTAGATTATAAATTTAAAACTAAGTATGTACAGAACTTATTTCCCATGCAATTGTTAATACAAACCACAAATCATTAGAGTATACTTTGCATGGTTCAATTTTATATATATATATATATATATATATATATATATATATATATATATATATATATATATATATATATATATAAAGGAATGATCTTTTGAGAACTCAAAGTTTCCCGAGAACCCGAGAACCAATTGTGGGCCGTTAGATCAAAATAATAAAAGGCTAGGATGCTCGGTGGCGTTTTTGTAAATAGTTTGAAAAAAAATAGATGGGGGCATCTTAATTATTATGAATCAGGGGCATTTTAGTAAATAAATAATTCAGACCCCTCTCTCTCCTCTCTCTCTCTCTCTCATCTCTACTGCTATCGTCTAATCGCCTCGTAGTCGTCGGAGATGACGTCTTCATCGGTGAGGTGGTCGAAGACGGAGACCGGTCGTTTGAACACGGAGGAGCATGACTTCAAAACTAACTTCCGCCGGTCAAAGAATCACCAAAAGTTTGATCTGTCAGCTTGTACACGACATCATTCGATTTTCCGACATGAATGCATCTGAATTACGAAAGCATATCGGATTGAGATCTGTATCTAATCTCAGGTTCCATGCCGACGTTAGCGAGGCTCCGATCCTTCCGACGAACGTTTCCCCGTATGATTTTAATTCGAGAGGATATAGTGCAGTCACCAATGATGTTAAGAATCAGGTACTCGGATTTAAAACAATCAGTATCCTTCATATGGAAATCTAGTAATATTTATTATTGTTAATGTTATCAATTGCCATGATTATCCAATTTTATGGATTTTTGTTCTACAGTAGTACAGGGAATGTTGTCTTGAACTGAAAGAGGCGATTTGAAGTCTCTGTATCTTGGATATTTTATTTAGCTCATCCAACTGCAGATGACTTTTTTTTTGGTAAGTATGTTTGATCTTTTTGTTTTTTCCCTTTATTTAAGCCTTATATTGATAATGTTTTGATGAATTACAAGTTTGAAAGTTATCATATAATGATTTTGAATGCAAAAATCATTTAGTAATATACTTGTTAATCTTATTGAATGTTGTTCATACATACAGGTAACGTCCTATTGACATGAAATAGGTGATTTTTATCAAGAAATCTTAGTAATATATTTGTTAATTTGATTATTACCAGATGATTATTACATTTTTTTTATCGACAGATTCATCGGCTATTAGTGTAATAATTTAATTGATTGTTGGCATGTCTGAAAATATGATAACAGAAGAATAAGTAACAATAATAGTCTTAAAAAGGGATGAAGTGTAGTTAATTGGTTTTTTTGAATGATAGGATCCTGGAAATTCAGTGATGATTGTGTGTGATGAAAAGCTGAAGGAAGTATTTGGATGTGAGAGCATTTCAGCAATGGGAATACCAGAGTTGTTGGTTAGACACCATTTACTCGAGCAATAGTCTTGTCTTCTCAACTTACATGGATATTATGCAAACAGGAATTGAGGAATTGAGCGTCTGACATATGATGTGAAGAAAGAAAGTAGTAGTAGTAAAAGTTTTTTAAGTTTGTTTTTACGGTTGTGTGAGTGATGCTGACATTGTAATGGTAGTGTGTAGAATGATGTTGGAAATTGTTTTTATGTTAAACCAAACCCAACAAAATGTTTTTCTTGTTGATGTTATTGTGATGTTTAGCTGTTGTTTACCTTTATCCTTTTGTAAATTCATAACCATTGTATGTTAATGATCTATTTACTAATGTTTTCACTATGATTAAAGGCAATCTTCAGGTTTCATTTCAGCTGTTAGCAATTGCAATTGATTATGTTCTTTTTATCGTTTATGTTTTCATTAATCATATGATTAAAGGCGATGTTCAGATTCATTGGCTATGATATTTACTAAAATTGCTATGATCTTCAGGTTTGTTAATATGTATTTTGATTATTGAAATCATTATATGAGAAATTTGATTCAGGTTTCATAAACATTAGGACAAAAGCTTGTGAGGTGTTTCAGAGAGAAGATTGTCTAAATGAGATTGTATAGGTATGTTGATGGTTTTATTATATTGTATATGTTTTATTAGATGAGAATTATATATGTATATGAACATTTGATGGTGGTAGTTTGGTGGTTAAATAAGATGTAATTCACATATGAATTACATGTGATTTACATGTAAATTCACAAGTAATTCACTTGTAATTTACATGTGAATCACATGTAATTCATATGTGATTCACTTGTGATTTACATATGAATTACATGTGATTCACATGTAAATAAGATGTAATTCACATGTAAATCACAAGTGAATCACATATGAATTACATGTGATTCACATGTAAATTACAAGTGAATTACTTGTGAATTTACATGTAAATCACATGTAATTCACATGTAATTCACATATGAATTACATATAATTCACATATATTTCACTTTGTAATTCACATGTAAATCACAAATGTATTTACATATGAAAAAATGTATTCACATGTAAATCATTAGTAAATCACATGTAATTCAGATATGAATCACATGTAATTCATATGTAAATCACATGAATTTTTGTGAGTGTTTTTGAATTGATCAATTGTTTTTTTTAATTTTCTTGTACATTTGGAAGGAAGTTGTGGTTAATATTTGAAGAGTTGAAAAATGATAAATTGAAAAAAATATGGAAATATTGATGTGAAGATATGAGAATTATATTATTATTTCAATACATCTTAGAATCCCTTATACCCAATACCTAACACACATTAAAAGAAATCATATGAATTACAAAGTTTTGCTAATATATATTGTGTTATCATCATCTTGAAAATTGTTAATACATTTGTGATTTACATGTGAATTACAAAGTGAAATATATTTGAATTACATGTAATTCATATGTGAATTACATATACAAAAAAACGTCCAGACTTCCATCTAAAATAAGGAAGATAATGATCTAAGTTTCTTCAAAGGTGTATTGGCTGTAGTGTGAGATAGAAGATGACAATTGTAGATTGTTATACAACCAAATGTTGATAATCACAATCATGTTTAGCCTAAAACTAGTATATAATTAAAAGTCCAACAAAAAACACACAAACATTCACATGAAGATGATGGCAGAGACCTGTAATGCAATTTAAATCAATTTTGTACATTGAACCATGAACCGAATCCAACTTACTTGTATTTATATTGTGTTATCATCATCTTGAAAATTGCTAATACATTTGTGATTTACATGTGAATTACAAAAGTGAAATATATGTGAATTACATGTAATTCATATGAATTACATATACAAATGGCAAGGGGGACATATGAATTACATGTGAATACATTTTTTCATATGTAAATACATTTGTGATTTACATGTGAATTACAAAGTGAAATATATGTGAATTGAAAGCATATCAATTCACCACTACCGAACGGGGTATAAGGGATTCTAATATGTATTGAAATAATAGTATGATTTCTTTTAATGTGTGTTAGGTATTGGGGAGGTTACTAAGGAAATATTGATGTGGTTAAATAAGATGTAATTCACATATGAATTACATGTGATTCATATGTAAATGACAAGTGAATCACATGTAAATCACAAGTGAATCACATGTAAATCACAAGTGAATTACTTGTGAATTTACATGTAAATCACATGTAATTCACATATGAATTACATGTAATTCACATATATTTCACTTTTGTAATTCACATGTAAATCACAAATGTATTAGCAATTTTCAAGATGATGATAACACAATATATATTAGCAAAAGTTGCATAATTTACCAAAAGTTGTTAAACTTAGTCATTATAGTGTTTTACAAAATAAAGTGCATACTAAAAATTTTGCCAAAATAGCCCATATAATTAATTAAATCCTAACATTCTACTGGATAACAAGAGCTTTGTGTTTAGACATTCCTATTCCTTTTTTTCTATTACAATTTTTTTAACTTGTTCTCAGTGATCCTTTCAGAAGTTTTTCTAGTTCTGATCATTTTAGAAGTTTTTCTAGATCTTCCTTCCTCTGTCTTATGGACCTCATCTGTGTAATCCACATGCTCTTTGTTATCGACCTCATTATCTTCCTTTTTTTCTTCTTCACCAATTCCTTTTTCTAACATATTCTAGTATAGAAAAAAATAGATGTTAGTTATGTTATTAGAATTTAAAATTTACTCTGAACTTTAAAAATATACCTTTGGAATTTCTTTTGATTTATGAAAGAAGTCATCAAATTCCTTAAGTTGTTCTTTGGTGATATTAAGAATCGAAATGATATCTTGCTCACTGTAATTTGATTGTCTCAAATCATTCAGAAGTTTACGAAGTCTTTCTCCTTCAATGTTATGCTCGACCTGAACACATGCTTTTGGAAGATGTTGATTTTCCAAAGTTTGAACTTTTTGAGTAATTTCCAAATTGTCAGGTTCTCCATCTATATTGTAAAATTTGTGTTGCACTCTATCTTTTTTAACTAAATTAAATCTAAATCAAATTCATTCACTTTTTCCATTTTTTTTTAAATCTTCATTTTGCTGAAAATTTTCTTTTGCTTCTTCAAATGTTGATATTAACTTACTTTTCTTCTTACAAAGACTTTCAAAAGTTTTTGTCAAAGTTGACAAATAATCTTATGTAAAATAAAAACATGTACATATATGTATATTATTTCACATCTGATTAAGAAAACAAATATATATATATATATATATATATATATATATATATATATAGTATGTATATTTTGCATTAATATTTATTTATATATAACTATTTTTTAATAAGTTTTTTATAGTTTTTACTCTCATTCTTTTTATCTGTTATATTTTGCATTAATATTTCAAGAATTTTTCCTGTTCCAAACATTCCAACTTTCATTTTGCTAGTTTCTCGTTTTTTCATTTTGATAGAATCCTAATTTTTTATTGATGGACTTAATCGTAAATCATTTTCTTCATCGAATTGAACATGGTCAACATATAATAGCTGCATAAAAAGAATATAGTCAAATTTGTATGTTATAGTAAAAAATTTAAAATAATATTTTAAATAACGAAATATTACCAGCAAGTATGTCAGTGGACCATAGAAGTACCCTTTACAATTGTGTGATACATATGACCTTGTGTTATTAATCAATGAGTCAATTGTGTAACTACACCAGACAATTTTTGAAAAATCTGTGGTGCTTGAAATCTTCTTTAATATATTCTGATTGATTTTACCTGCAGGTGTACTTTCAACTAGAGTGTTGCAAAACAAACAATGAAATTGAGTTTGAAGTTGAAATCAGCCTCTTTTGATGATATAATTGCATTTGTGATATCATTCAATCTAATGTTTTCTGCTTTATGAAATTGGGATATCCATTTGCTGTAACATTCATCTTCTGCAGGTCGAAAACTAAGGTCTTCCACTTTTTGGTCACTCATTGGAATTCCAAGCATCTCATTCACACTTTGTCTGTCAACCTTAATTTCTCCATTTATAACCTTAATTTCTCCATTTTACATATGAATCATATGTAAAAATCAAATGAATAATTGGTCATATATCAAGTATGTAGTGAATCATTGGTCATAATACATTGGATGCTTTATTTTAATTTTTTTTTTTGAAAAAAAAACATACAGGCCTGTATGCATGTCCGTATACAGTTCTGTATACAGTTATATAAACAGATCCCAAAAGTTCAATGCTTTCATCTGTGAATGAATAAATGGGACATTAAAAAAAGTTTTTAATCAAATTATAAGTCAAATTATAAATGAAAACTTATTTAAACATTATAATATAATTTTACCTTATCTGTTAATTTTTTTCCAATGTGCCACATGCAAAGACGATGAGTTGATTCATTAAAAACGGTTTCTACAACTTTAGCCATAGCTGAATCTTGATCAGTGACCACAACATTAGGTTGTGTACCAAAGCAATTGAGAAAGCATTTGAGAAGCCATGTATAGAATTCCGTTGTTTCTTTAGCTAGCAAACCAGCACCAATTGTGACACATCTTTTGTGGTTATCAATTGCAGTAAATGGAACAAAGATCATATTATATCTGAAAATCATTAAAATATTTAACATAAATACTAAATGCAAATATTTTAATATATAAATATTAAAGAAATTAAGTATTACTTACTTGTTTGTTTTGTATGTAGCATCGAATGATACAACATCAGAGAATTCTTTGTAGTTTCTTTTTGCTATTGCATCTGCCCAAAAACAGTGCCCTTAGCTCATCATCCTCCAACAAGTAATAAAAAGTGAAAGAAGGCACATTTTTACATCGTTGTGTTAAAAGATTTATCAACATATTTGCATCACTGTCTCCTATATAGCAGTTTAAGTCTCTTGAAAATTTTTTGTAGTCGATTTTCTTTGCACCTTGTTTACTGTAACCACCCTTTAAACCAGTAACCATGCTATGTGCTTTGCTTGCTCCTATATTTGATGTGCTTAACTGAGTTATAATTGTCTTGTCATAATGATCCAACTTTCTTTTCGACTTTGACATGTGCACTGTATTGTTTGTGTAGAGCTCATGGTTGTGTTTTTCAACAAATGTATTAATGAAAAACCGATCAGTATTTTTTATAAATTTGAAACATATCTTTGCTTCTCAAGACATCATTTGGCTTGGATGTTTTCTTTTTTGTCTGCCTTCTACTCCATTCAAAGTGTCAGCATTTTTTTTATCTGGTTCACCAGCCCTACTACATATAATATACTTGTATTGTAAAATACCATTAATAGTTTTACTTGATGCAAGTCTGCAATCAAATCCTGCTTTCTTTGCATATATTTGGTAAAACTGAATTCCATGATCTAATGTTTCAAACACCATATCTTTCTTTGGCAGTAATGATTCATCAACTCTTGGGATCCACTCAATTGTTTTTGTGCTACAAGGAGATTTTACTTTTATGCAGCTTAATTCATCTTCATCTTCTGATTCAAAATGTTTTGCTGCAAATTAAATAATATTAAATCAAATCATATATAGGAAAACATGTCATTTAAAATCAAACTAATATTTTAGTTACAATCAAGATTAATATTAATAGAAACTTACCTTTTTCATTATCATTCGACTGGGATGTCGAAGAAATTTGCTCATCCTCTTCAATAATATCTTTGAAAAATGCATCTTCAACATGTATATCGTCATTGTTTATGTTAAATTCAGTAGATTCTTCATCAGCATCACCTATTAAAATCATATATTTATTTATCATCAGTGTATGTAATTAAAATTAAAATAATGTTTGAATACAATTTGATTTACATAGAAACAGATATTATTCATATGTGATTGGCATATGAATCAAATATGATTCACATATAATTCATGAGTAAATAACATATAATTCACATATGATTTACATGTGATTCACATGTAAATCACAAGTGTATTACATGTGAATTCATATGTGAATTAGATGTGATTTACATGTGAATTACATGTAATTCACAAATGAATTATATGTGATTTACATGTGAATCACATGTAATTCACATGTGATTCACATGTAAATCACAAGTGTATTACATGTGAATTCATATGTGAATTACATGTGATTTACATGTAATTCACAAATGAATTATATGTGATTTACATGTGAATCACATGTAATTAAGATATGAATCACATGTGATTCACATGTAAATCACAAGTGTATTACATGTAAATTCATATGTGAATTACATGTGATTTATATGTTAATTACATGTGAATATGTGATACACATGTAAATCACAAGTGTATTACATGTGAATTCATATGTGAATTACATGTGATTTACATGTGAATCACATGTAATTCACATATAAATCACATGTGATTCACATGTAAATCACAAGTGTATTACATGTGAATTCATATGTGAATTACATGTGATTTACATGTGAATTACATGTGATTTATATGTAAATCACATACAATTCACATATGAATTACATAATTCACATGTAAATAACATGTAAATCACATATGTATTACATGTGATTTATATGTAATTCACATGTAAATCAAATGTAATTCACATGTAAATCATGAGTAAATCACATATACTACATCTTTGTCAAGAACATGTTCCTAGAAATTGAAAGTGTAGCTTGGCCTGAACTGGAGACAACTGATATATCTTCTAATTCAGGTATAAATCACATGAATTTTTAATGAATCAACTATGAATAACATATGATTTATATATGATTCATATATGAATATGTGATTCATATATTATTCATATGGGATTTTAATATGAATATCAATACCATACGTTTATTATTCAAAAAATTATGAATCATTACCTGCTAAAAAATTTATCTCGCTCTGCAGATCTTCAATTATTCTTCCTGAATCCATTAAATTGCTGAAAAAAATCTCAATTTACATTCAATAAAACAACGTATTAGAAATCTGAATGCTACTGTACTTAAATATACAAATAAAACGTAAAATATTCGGCAATCTGTTTTTCCTTCATTGATATAATCGTAATGAATGAATCGTATGAATTTAAGATAACATGCTAACCTCGAAAGAAATCAATGACGAATCGTATGAATTTTGCTTTGTAATCGATCTCGAATTTGCGTTAACAACTATTTCAATGATGAAATCAATGACGAAAGAAATTATGAATTTAAGATAACAACTATTCGATCGATGTAGATTTGTTATGATTTCGTCGTTGATTTTGATAATTTTGAAGGTTAGAAGATGATATTTTGGAAAGAAAATCGTACAGATGTTGTAATACTCAAATAAAACGTAAAAGACAATCTTACCCTTATGATCTTAAATCCAATCCAACGGTCCACTTTTAGTTATCGGGCTCTCGGAAAATTATGAGTTCTCAACCATATATATA